CAGGCACGGATTTTCTGGGGGGGGTGCGCACCTCCACAGAAATGATTTGCAGCCTCCCCCCAAAGGCATTTGGCACCCCCGCAAATTACATCTATTTTGATTTGATAGTTTCATATTTGATTATTCTTTAATACTACTAAATTTGTAAAATTACCAATATTATGGTCTCAGATCTCGCCATGCAGGCCTACAAAACAAATTTTGTTAAACTTTTTCCTTGGCCTTTCCAGGCGTTGCCACCAGGCCCCGGCCAAAGCAAGCAGCAGCACCCCCCCCCCCATTTATCCCCCCCCCCCGAACGAAAATATGAAAATCCGTCTCTGGTGCAGTACAGTACAGTACAGTGCAGTGCAGTACAGTGCAGTACAGTACAGTATACAAATAATGAATGTTTTTATTCGTGCAATGGTAAGAATATTTTGATGAGGTGAAAGATGGAATGTTCCATTCAACGAGGCGACAGCCGAGTTGAATGGAACATTCCATCTTTCACCTCATCAAAATATTCTTACCATTGCACGAATAAAAACATTCATTATTTGTTTTATATAATACCAAAATGACTAATATTAAAAGTTTTACTGTAAGCTCCTGCCATTTTAGCGAGTCGTATTTGCATTAAATCCCATTTACTGAGTTTCGAATATCGGGTTAAAATAAACTGCGATCACCGTACGAGAAGCATTTTGACGGATGCGATTTATCGAAAACACAAAGAGTGCAATGGAATAAAAAGCCAATTAAACGATCAGAATTCAATAAGGTTAATAATACAGTACAGTACAGTACAGTACAGTACAGTACAATACAGTACAGTACAGTACAGTACAGTACAGTACAGTGCAGTACAGTACAGTACAGTACAGTACAGTACAGTACAGTACACTACAGTGCAGTACAGTACAATACAGTACAATACAGTAGCTCCATTGCCTTGATTTTTGTAGTTGGTCTGTAACTCCTGCATTCTTAATTCAACAAAATTTGGAGTTAGCCCCTTATGCTATGGAGATTACGTCGCTCCATGGCTACGTAGCTAACTTCGGCAGCCAAGTTATCTTTTTGGGCGATGACGTCATCTCTCGAGTATATAAAAAGCTCGGTTGCGACCATTGATCACCCCTGAACAGGAGTGTGGAATCGTTTGGGATCATGAATGTAAATAAAAGCCTAAAAAGGTTTCCAAAGGTCTCTAGCCCTCTGAAAGTATTTCATCCAAGGACATGGAAATCTATATGTTTGTCTTGTAACAAGTCTCGTAATCTGTCCTGTCAAATATCGTGTTGTTATTAGATTTGTGTTCGTTGTATAGTATTAGCATAGTTCATGGGGCCGCTGTAATTGGTGAAAACTGTAGCGTGCACCCTGCCAATGGAACACATATTATATGTTGTTGTAAATATGCTGTTAAATGTTGCATGTCACTTGGCAAAGTTAAATAAATAAATAAATGGGGAAAAAAATGTAAATAACAATGTAATTTGGGCAATAATAATATTTGGGGTTACATTCATTGACTTATCCTGCATTACAGCAGTGGCAAAACATATTTGAAATTTATATGATACTGTACCTCATAAGCATTCTGTAAATATCTTGTCATTAACGTCAGATATGCTGCAGATTCTTTTATATCTCGTGTTCGTTTCACGAAGAATTCTTCGCCAACCTGTCAAAACGACTGCATATGCTAAATGCGTACTTGGGGGGGGGGCACAAAGCTCAGCATGTTCGATTCCTGCAATATGCAGTTGTCTGATTGTGAATTTACCTCAGTCACGTGTGAGAAGAGTGCTTCCAATTTGACCGACAAACACTTCAGGTTTTCTCCAGGTACACACGTAAAAACGCACAAATTGTAACAACCCTGCACCAGACTTGTAGAAATGCTGTTTGAACAACATGTGAACAGGATGTGTTCGCACTGCTTGTCCCCAGCTTGTTGGCAACTTGCTACAAGGTTGTTGAGCTTAACAGACTTGTTGTTCCAGCAACTTGTTATCGTCCTGCAATTCAACAATTTGTCAACAAGTTGTGAGTGACAACCTTTTAGTAACTTGATAAAATAACAGCATTGTTACAACTTGCTGACAAGCTTGCTACAAGCCTGTTGCGAACACATCTTGTTGACAAGTTGTGAGATTTTTACGTGTGTACTCCAAGTTTACTCCGGCAGTAAGAATAGACCAATAACAATCTAGGGAGAACAGTCTAATGATCGCTCTTACCGGTCCCTAGAGAACATCCCAGAATTATTACTGTAATACAACTGTCAGTATAAATTAAGGTTGTTGTTTAGTTCTTTAATAGTAATTAGTTAAACTTATACTACTTACCTGAGTATTGATAATTGCTTGTTCTAAAGTTTGAGCTGGCATGGACATGAAGCTCATTGAACCAAAATCTTCAACGAGATAAACAGGATGTTTCAATCCAGAATTCAATAATCGAAACTAAACCACAATAAAAGAAAGTTCTTTAACACATATTAACACATCGCCTTCGACTCGAGTTTGTATATCAGATAAAGATCGACTGCTCATGTTTTAACTAGTACATAATTATATTTTCTGTGTTGGTGCAATGTACTCAGGTGAATAAGATGCTTGTGATGTTACTCTGAGTGTATATCCATACCGGGCAAGCTTGAAAAATATGCCTGAATAATATGCTTGAAAAATATTCCAGAGGTCGTAGGTTCGATTCCCACCGTGGTCAGGCATATTTTTCAAGCTTGCCCGGTATGGATATACACTGAGAGTAACATCACAAGCATAGTACATAATTGTATTTTACTGTATCTAGTTTTTTTCTAGATGGGTTCCATTACGAAGAAGCATGTAGATTGATCAGCAAAATACCTTTTGTTCTTTAAATCTTCCATCTTTGATACTGCTGCATAAATCATCCATTCGTTTACGTTCTACGATATAATCCATTACAAGTTCTCGTCTTTCCGGTAACACAAGCTGACCTAGATTCATAATCGAACGAAAATGTGTTAGTTATAGAGGTTCTCTGATTCCTTTGAGACGAAATTGCGAACAAACCTGGAACAGGGAGCATCTTTTCACGTGCAACCCAAAGAAAATCGCCAACATTTAATTTCCTCACATCAAAACATACACCTAAATTTAAAACGAGAATAAGCCGTAGGTATAGGAATAACGTAACGCAGCTCTTGGGGGTACAATACAACAATACTCACCATTCATTCGGAGTTCTTTTACCATCTCTTCTTTGCGAGTTGTTTTAGATCTAAAAGTTAAATGAGAATATAATGCACTAATCACTTTCTGGTGTTCTCTAAATGCTAATGGATAGACTTACCCGCCAGTTGTTTCAATAAAGTCAACACACAGAATAATTTCAAACGAACCTAAATGAATATCAAGAATTTTTGTAATATTTGTTACTCAAGACCAAGTTAAACGAAGCAAATTTTTGCTGCAACTTCCAACGCAATTTCTGAAATAGAGTCAACATTTTCGTCCTATTTCTCTTATTTTGAAGACTTTGTAAAGGTGTCGGCTGAGCTAGTGGAGTACGGACCATGCTCTGCACATATCCCTCCCACTACTTTTTAGATAACATGGCTCTGTATCCGAAATTCCGTTGCAGAAAGGATTGCATCGTGTAACATAGCCATAATTTCTGTATAGTCCTTGTTGACCGTTAGATTAACCACTTAATAACTGTGGATTAACTTACCAGCTTTAAGCTCGTATTCCGGTATTATCACTTTGTCAACTTTGGTTGGCGCATCACTTGATAACAATATAAACAAAGATGAGTTAAAATACAGTACTCGCACATACGTTTGTGTGCAAAGTATCTCTCGCCCTATACGAATACAATTAGAAAACCGGTCACACGAAACCGGTCACACGAACCTTTCCCTTGGCGGACTGATATTTTCAGTTGTAATAAGACGACTTGTAGATACTGCGCTTAGTTCTTTTGCTTTATTTGTTGCTAGTTTTGCTTCAGTTGTCTGTTTGGCTTGAACTGGTTGTGTGGTTCGAGTTGGTTGCTTTACTTTGGTTCCTGGTTTCGTCTGAGCTAGCCGTCCTGCTTGAGATGGTTGTGTTTCTTTTGACAATTGTTTAACTTGAGCTGGCATAGACTCTCTCGTTGTCGATAAAGTTGGTGTAGTAATGTTTGATTTTGATGTAGTCGATTTTGACGAAGCGAGTACTTTGGGCTGACTAGATTCAGTAATTGTTATTATTTCTGACGAGATGTCGGTTATTTCAAACGACGTGGTAGCACTTGCTTTCTCGAACACATGTCGAGGTTGTGTCTGTAATGAAAGGTAATGTTATATTTGATTTCACTCAAAAGGTATTAAACCCGTTCTCCGGGTACTCCAGTTATATTAGAACTGGCGCTATAGGGGATAACCCAGTTACTGCATGGACCTCTAGAAAGAACAGATTAAAACTGAGATCAGGGCAGGAAAAAAGAATTTTCTTCCTGGGAGCACAACCTGGAGACAAAAATTTCCTGCAGACCAACGGAGTATTTTTGTGCTAAATCTGCATGTGCATAAACATATAGTGTTCTAGCTGACCATGGTTTTCAATTCAAGGAATAATGTCTGTCAACTATATGTTGTTGCGCCCATAGTGAGACATGGGTGTCAAGGTTTCAGCCTATTGAGCATTGGCTGCAATGTTTATATGAAATAAACAATCTATCTATCTATCGGACCTCTAGGCAAAACAGTTTAGACAAAACTTGTTATATACCATTTTTTCACTGTCACTTTTGCCACCACCAAGTCTTTCAAACAAAGGTCTCATAAGCATTTCATCATCACTGTCATCATCATCTGATACGTTTGATATCGTTTGGGGTTTGGCTGGAATTTTGTATGGAAAAAATAATTGAGTAATTAATACTGCGCACGACCAATAAAAACAGAAATAGGCTAATCTACTTGGAGATGGTCAGAAATTCATACCAGTTGATTTTTTCTTTGTGGCAACATGAGATTCTGTAGCCTCCGATGATCTGGTAATAGCGTCACTATTGATATACACGAACACATGACCGTCTTGGCCTTGTCTAATAAAACAAATTATGATGTATTTGTATTAAACGGATGACAGGGCCGCCGAGAGGGTGAGGCAGAGAGGGCATTTTGCCCCAGACTTCCAGCTCAAAAGGGTCCGTAATGCGATAAAGGCCCTTAAAATTTCGTGATACAGGATTGCTTCATCGAGAAGTCCTAGCTGCGGCAGTCCTAAGTAACATGCAGTAAAGCGTAATCTATTTATTGTAAAACACCACTTCGCCCGTTTTACAATGGACCAATCCCACATTAACCAAAATTTTGAACTCAACAAGTCTGGAAAAAAATTTCATCACAGCTTGAAAGAGCATCACAAAATTAGTAATATTCCAAAGTTTCGTTGCAAAATGTTGTAAAATACGGATAATATAGCCTTGCGAAGTTTGTAATTTTCAGTCATTTTGTATTTCGCAAGGAAGTGTCCTTGCGAAATACAAAATGACTGAAAATTACAAACTTCGCAAGGCTATAT